GTTGTGTTTTTCTTGTCTGTGTTCAGCTGCAGCTGGGAAGGCAGATATTTGATGGCGTCGCCAACCTCATCTATGACTCTGTGGAGATGCGCCGCCAGTATCAGCACTACAGAGACCATGTCCAGCTCATCCGTATACCCACTGTTGTCACAATGGATTCACAGCCTGCAGAGGTACATTTACAGCACTGCTCAGAGGTTTACAAGGAAAACTGCTTTAAAGGGCGTTTGAATTGTTTATTTGAGCTTGTCCTTTTTTTATTAGTGGACTATAAATATATTATTAAACAAAAACTGATTTAAATTTGAAATCAAAAGCTGCATAATTTGCTGTTTTTTCTCTAAATAAGAGATTCAATATTTTACACAAAGCCTACAAAACTTTATTAAAACTACATCTTTTGTTTCCATTAACAAGCCTCTAGCATGATTATGAAGTAACATTTGACCATTAAAATTACTTAAAAACTTCATTCAAATAGGCTGTTTTCTGATGTTTTGGGCATGGACCTCTTTAAATCATAGTCCACACATTACCAATAGGGTTGAGATTTGATTCCTTATTTTCAGGTATCGAACTGTTGATTTAGGTTGAAATTGAATTTAATTGGCCGACTCACTTTATGCACTGCACCAGTATCATGAGCCAAGCATGCACCCATGGCATGATGCTGCCACCACCATGCTCGACTATTGGAGCTGTGCGGATAAATGTGGGCAGATGACAATTGTAGTTGGGGTTGTAGGTGTACAGCAGCAGCTTCTTTCTTGGCAGTGCTGTCCTGGTCCACATTAATCTTAAAATCACTTCTTTGTGGACAGACTTCGGTGTTAAGGAGAGTATCCCAGTGATTGTGGACCTTGTTGCTTTCTCTCTTTTTACTCGATGAAACTATTGATCTAATATAAAGAAAATGTCTCACTGTTTCACTATAATTTGAGTCAAATTTCTTTGGAAATGTTGATTAATTGCTTTAAGGTTTTAGCTACATGTCATAAAATGCTGTTAGCAGAGGATGGTTTCGATCCATCGACCTCTGGGTTATGGGCCCAGCACGCTTCCGCTGCGCCACTCTGCTGTGCTGATATGTGTATCAAAAAAAAAAGAACTCAACAACCCTGAGGGTGCAGGTTCGATTCCTGCTCGGGGCTACAACAATTGGCCTACTGTGTACCAGTTCTATTCTAATTTCTTCATCAACTATATCTGTTGAGGTGTAAATTGTTGTGACAAAGTGTTACATCTAGTTAGAAATTAATTACCGAACCATGGTAGGACCTCTGACTACAAGATGAATCTGTTTCTTCACTTGACACTTATTTTCAATTCCACTTATTTATTTGACGGTTAATCGTGATTGGATTTTCTTTATACGTGTTAAAGTAGGAGGTTTTCACAGGGGCCACACCTGTATAGATGTAAGTTATTGACACCTTGCAAAACAGGATAAAGGTTTGAAACCAGGTTTTGGCTGAAATTTATTTTCATTTACTTTATTATTTTTAATGTTCCAATAATAAACCTCCTTTATGGCAGATGGATGTGGAGTGCTAAATCTTTTTCACCAAGCAAATTTGTTATTGTTTTAAAAAAGAGAAAACTAGTAAATATATTTCTAAATAAAAAAATTGTATAAAAGTAATAATTTATCCATCCATCCATGCTGGTGCTGGTGCCTATCTCCAGCTGTCTACGGGTGCTCGGCGGGGTACACATTTGACAGGATCATAATAGTTTATATGAATGGATAATAGAATATGTACATAATAGGTATATCATAAATAAAGTATTATTTTTTAACAAATAAAATGATATATATATATATATATCTATAAAA